TATCATAAAGCCTGCCATTTGAAATAAATATATATATATATATATATATATATAATATGAAAATTTCATTATCTTATTTTTATTGCTATACTTAGGGGTTGAAAATGTGCATACCCGACTCCAATTCCTCCTAATTCTGTGTGCAATAATTGCTTCCTTTTACCTCCAATGATTTTCCCTGATGGTCTAGCGGTTAGGATTCCTGGTTTTCACCCAGGCGGCCCGGGTTCAACTCCCGGTCAGGGAGCGATGTTGGGGTGCGCAATAGACTTACCTCCACGTGGTGCACCCTGGGCAACGTATACTCATACGGCAAAAAAGTCTATCAAACCGGCAAGGGCTAATGATAAATATCATAAAGCCTGCCATTTGAAATAAATAAATAAACCTCCAATGATTCCGTGCTTCTCTGCTGAAGTTAGGCAACGAAAGAGTTCGCTATTATATTATTAAAAATTGCCCTATTTTCACTAATTGTAAAGGAGAAATTGAGGCAAGATTTTGTTATTTCCTAATAGATAGTCTTTACCTTCGACTATTATTTCCGGTGATGGATCAGTTAAATCTAGAAGAGTGGCTTGTTTAATGTAAAAAGGGCTCTGTTCCCTAGACAATGGTGAATCACTTCTAACTTTACACCTCGACAGTAAGTTTATTTTTCAATATCCTCTGGAACCTAACTTCCGTATTGTGAGTCATAATTCTCGGCTTCATAGTAGCCACCTCTTGAATTGACACAATTTATAGGGTACCAATAAAGCACTCATTTTATGAAAGGCCTATCGAGCTAGAAGCATGTCAAAGATTTAGAATGCAAATCATTTTTTTTAGATTATGGATTAAATTGTATTTTAGTCAGTGTGCATCAGATACGTGCAATTCAATTTAAAAAATGACTTTCTCTGAACTACCGTAATTACCCATATTCCATGCTTGCCAGGGGGAATGTGGTTCTTCCCCAACTAGAGTTTTAAACGCAACGATAAGTATGGACGGTGTAGTTTTTTTTGCTTTGAATTTCGTAGTTTTATAATATTTGTCCCGATTTCATCAAACTTCATTCCACTTTTCAATTTATATTTATTTAATCTGAACGTGCTCCAATTAATGATACCTTGATTAAATTTTCTTTTCTACTTCAATCGGTTCAATTTCAAGTCCGACAATGTACTTGTCTTTCAAACCCAACAAGTTAATTAGCACTGCGTTACCTAAATCATTCTTAGAAAATTTTGTGATCCATAATATTTTTGTCTTTGGAAAAATTAAGAAATGTTGAAATATTAAGTAAACTCGGGTGTCACGATCAAAAATTGTGTATTTTTGGGCAAATAACAACAAAAAATTCTTAGATTTTAATCAGTTCATAAAAGAATGTTTTAATCTAATGGAAACTAGAATTTGTTATTTAATGGTAAGTCAAAATGCACGAACCTCCGGAGGTAATCTCAAAAAATATTCCTTTTTTTAAAGTTCGCTTTGCATTTTACACTCAAAATTTTAATAATTAAAAGTACTACGATCAAATTAAAGAGGATTTATTTCACCCAAAGAACCACGTTCCGTTCTGAAAATTCTACCACAACACTTCAAAATGCTAAAGATGGTAAGCGGATCACTTGGAGTACATGGTTCATTTGGCAGGAAAAGGTCAATACAATTGAATGGAAGTTTGCGCTTATCCCACTCTGATAGCAGGTTTGGCATAATTTCTCCTCAATCTGTCCGGAACTTCAAGCACCTCGAGTGGGTAGAAATTATCAACGTTCACTGATTCGTGATGATCAAGTAAACGGTCCATCAAGTAGCCTTCAATATTATTTTCAAGATCATGTTGATCTCGAGGTGTCCATGGTGCACACATATGTGAACCTAAGGAAAATAATATTAATATGAAATTATTAAATTAACTTTGAGTATCTATAATTTGTGACTATAATTATACCATAAATGAATTTATTTAGGAAAATCACGAAGTGTTACGCATATTAGAATTTTATCTTATTTTAAATCTAACCTTTCATTTCTAAATTTTAAAAAGGGAAAGATGTATAAACTTACTAAGAAGGACGAGGACGATGAATTGTCGAAAAATTAATTTAAAATTATCCATGAGTATTTCAATAAATCTAAAGAAAAGAAATAAACATAAATAAACGAATAACATTATCATCTTAACTGATTTTGTCATTTTAACACCAAAGAGGTATGAAGCATTTAATACTCATAGGCGACTTTCATTAGCGCAACAACTAACATAGAATGTCAATTCCAAATATTTACAAACATAAAGCACACTTAGAATAAAACGAAACAAGGCACAATTAAAGTAACCGCAAAACCATTGAATAGCTTCGTTGGCCATTAAATATGTTTCAATAATGAATTGATGACAAAGTGGACCAATGGGAATGGACTCAGAGTCCAATCCGACGAGCAATTCGAGTATAATTGGTCAATTTGTAATTTTGTTTTATGAGGCCAATGGACCAAAGAAGTTATTATATTAATTCTGCAATTGAAACCTGCGTTAATGGAATACCAAGTAATAGTAGTGGAATGGCCAACTGCATTTGTTAAGTCTGATTGTTTGTTGAGAGGGCAGAATATGAGTATCTCATCCGGAAGTCTTTACGGCACTTCACATCAACTCGAAACGAATGTTAAAACGCTTTTCCGCATTGGTTTAGAAGTCAACTTCCACATGATCACCTTCTGTCAGCAAATAAATAGATTTTAGATTATCGAATTTGCGTGTGTGTCAATGACCAGACTTTATCACATGCAATTTTATCGGTGTATTGAATCTCATCACGTTTTTAGCTTTCCTGATATTTGCCGAATTCAAAATAAAATAGATATTTAGCACAAATGATTGAAAAGTTAGACCAATGGATTAGTAGTACGTATTTCATCTAGTGCACTAAATTTTGAGCTCTCGTGCACTATTCTTGAAAAAATGTAATAATAAGGTATTTGTATAGTGCCTATTGCAGTTGTTTAAAATGACAAACAAAATAGACTTCCTTGTGCCTCAATTTGGAAATTACTATGTGACCAGATACCTCGAACCTGGTGCTTGTCGTTACTCAAACCACCTCTAAGGTAGGAGCGTCGTTATTGCAAGTCGAAATATTCCATCGTATTAAGTACTAATTTCGATAATGATTGTACTAATTGATTTTGATTTGCAAAAATGGTGTGAATTAAGCTAAATGTCACAGGAGTTAAAAGCCTGAAAATAATTTATGTTAAGAGTCTCACAGAAAAGATGTAGACTTTCCAATTGCACGAAACACTATCTCCGAACTTAAAGAGATATCTCGTCATATATTCTCAGCGTAAAATATAGTTATTGATCCTCCTTTCAGCGAAGTCTTCACAACTTTAAGGACTAAAGCATTTTTGAAGTTACTCAAGGATATTCGATCAGACTAGGATTAGACTTAATCAATAATGACGGAAAGGGAATAAAGTGTGTTCAAATGCTTATAACTCAGTTTCTATGTGACTTTATAAGGCATATTTATTAAAATTAATAGAGGTTATCAAAGCTAAGAATGAGACCCAATTTCCTCGATTTTAGTTATTATCAATTTTTGGCTAGCGGATTTGAATCATTTTAACGGCTGTTTAACAAAATACTAACATTTCTATATTAATAAATAATTATACGAAATTTACTCTGAAGCATGCTAGAGGAATCAAATTACTTAATCGTGGCATTAGAATTTGGTAATACTCGAAATGTACAGAAAATACTTTGATTACAGAGTTGTCACAAGATTAAAGTATTGTCCAGGTGCACAGGTAAAGTTACTATAACTCAATTTCACTGATTCTCAACAGAGGACACTTCCTTTAAAAACTGAACTCGTCCAATAGGTAAAAATAAACATATATTAATTTTTTATATCAAATGGCAGGCGTTTTGACGGTTATCATTAGCCCTTTAGTTGACTGCAGGCTTCACAGAGGGGAAGGAACAACAAATTGAAAAAAGTCGAGAGGGCGGGGGGGGGGGGGGGGGGGGGGGGAACAGAAGAGTGTTTCAAACACGAAGGTAGAAAAAAGGTGAGATGAGTACTGTGGAAGTGGTGAAATATGACATACAGTGGGGTCATGGTAGATTGAAGTGAGAAGTCAACTGACGGTTTATAAACCTTTTTGCCGTATGAGTATACGTTGCCCTGTGTGCACCACGTGGAGGTAAGTCTATCACACACCCAATAAATTTAAATTTAAATTTAAAAGTTACGGCGTTCGCATCACTATATGAAATTGCTTTTCACACATAATTGATTGATTATGTCCTAAGTTGACCTTAATTACAGCAATATGTCCTATTGACTTAATAACAAGTCAAAGAAAAAGAAATGGCTCGTGAAAACAGTCTTCTCATCCCTGTTATATCTCACTTACGGGGGTGTGGGATAGACTTACCTCCACGTGGTGCACCCTGGGCAACGTATACTCATACGGCAAAAAAGTCTATTGACCGGCATTTGACTTCTGACTTCAAACTACCACGACCCCCTGGTTGTCACATTCAACCCCTTCTACAGTACTCACCTTTCCTTTTTCTCTACCTTTGTGTCTGTCTACCTCTTTTACATCTGTAAATCGCTCTTCTGTTACCCACCCCTCGAATTTCTGCTACTTTGATGAACCTTCCCTCTGTGAAGCCCGAAGTCAGGTAAATGGCTAATGATATCTATCAAAACGCCTGCCATTTGAAATAAATAAATAAATGTCCGGCTGCATAGAAGGTAAAACCATTAAGCCTCGTCCAAGTTCTTGAGCTCAAATTGAAGTTTAGAAGGACTCACTATTTAAATAAATACAGCTTAAGAACTATTCAGGAGCTGCTATTTGTTCTTATTGAAATCTGATTTTTTTCTCACTTTTAATTCCACTTGTACGCGAAATTCCCAAAACCGTAGCGAAAAAAAGAAGCTCTTTTCATATTAAAATGCACCCATATGAAGTTAATACCCTAGCCCTAAGACATCATTCTGCGTACTTACCACTTAATGACCGCCATGGTAAGCAAAAAATCCTACTCTTCTTCATCTACTCAACTTGTTTGTTGCCTTATTTGTGCTCATTCTTTTAGCTAACATCCACAAAGTCCCCTATAAGCTGATACAAAATAAGTCAGCATGCTTTTTCGAAAACGTGCCTAGAGTTCTAGGCTATACAGAAGATAGCGTGGAAGCGCTTTTTTTCTGCAACACAGAGAATAATAAGATTGTACAGGGAAGAGTTCATTGGATTAAGTCGGATGAAAGAGTGAACATTTTTCGAGGATATGCTTCCTTCAGAACTATCTACGACTCCATTCCACGTGACATAACAAACGAGAGGATCAAGTTTTGCAAAACTTCCGAGGAGCTACTCCTTTTAGCGAGTGACAAGTTACAGGTTTTAACGTATAATGGTAGCTCCCGCCTTACTGTATACACGTTGTTTACTTATTAATCTTTAGCCCTTTCGAATAGATTATTCATGAAAAGGACCTACGAAATCAACCCTTCATTAGATTGTTCAAAATTAGCTCAGGAACCTTCTCAAGCGACGATAGGATGTTTTTGGCCTCATACTCCTCACAATTTAGCCTATTTGCTCCATGATGAGAAAGTGGTACTCAGCGTGAAAAATGAAGGGGGCGTTAAAGTTGAACTATCGCAACAACAGCTAACAAATTTGCCGAATGTGACCCTAGGACATGGTAGAGGTGGGAAAACACGTTTCGATGCCTTGGCGAGTGCGTCAAGTTATGATCGTGGTGATAGGTTACTTGCCTATTTGGCTGTTCGGGAGAAATTTAGCCTTTTAAATTTTTCCTCCCGAGAATTAGAGTTAATCAGTTTTGGTGATACGACTGGACAAAGTCACCGCAGTAAAATACTATATGCCCAGTGTCTTTTGAGGGAGGACAATGAACGTTGGGCAGTAATTGTACAAAGACGCGACAGATCGATTGAAATGTGGGACGATCGTCAACCCCGATGCCCTTTCCTGAGTTTCAAATCGACATCTCTAACTCGGCCAGCGATTGAGCTACCGTTGCAGTCTATGCTAGCGCTTCATCAAGATCCTAATAAATCTGTAAAGCTCTACTCCCTCCGTACGGGGGATCAAGTAACTGCGCTTAGGTATTCTCATGTCCATTGCAATAATTGTTCCCCGAGGATGATATTTAGAACAAGGTGGCTTTTTCATTGTAATGAGGTTTGTCCGCCTGGTCCAGTAATCATGGTCACTTGCCCAGATGTATGCGAATACTTCTATTAGCAGAATGAGTATTTCGCGTACTGGATCACATAAATCAGATGTTGTTCCCCCATTTTTTGTAATTATTGCAACATCTGCTTTTTGTAATAAACACCTGGAGATTAAATGCCAATTAATATTTTCTCTCTTATCTCCATTTGACCATTATAATATTGTTATCACAGCTTGGCAAAACACCTTCACATTTTTGCATGCAATGGAATATTATTGCAATATATTAGTTTACTAATGAATACTGAACTCAGGCAGAGAGAGAGAGGGAGGGAAGGAGATAAGATAATGACAAGCCAGACATATAATATAAATAGGTGTCTATTTACTAAATATATAAAAATAGGGTTTGTTGGATTATGATCCACCGGGGAGGACTGAGCCAATCAAATTTGTCGGAATATGATCACCACACAATTGATGAAAGATGGTCGATTTCCTCATATCGCAATCTCCTATGGCTATAAGTTGAAAGCGACTTATTGATGATATGCAAACAACACCCTGTGCACACCAGAGCATTGCTTTGTCTTAATTTTTAGTTGGAATAGGCAGCGATGAAGATTAGGCAAAAAAGGAGAGAAAATGAGTTGTGGGCGCAACTGGGTTTATACAGGTGAGCACGGTTGGTGAGCAGTTGAGGGTCGGTGAATTTTCAATGGCGTCCGTGGAAATCTTTGAGCACTCTGAATATGAAGCTAGTTTCCTTGCAACTGCGTTGGTTGCTAGGTCGTCTCGCAAAACCAAATTCCACCTTAATGTACAACGGGTAGAACTCCCTCCTCCTCCTCCTCCTCCTGAATCGGCTTCGTCCAGTAAATCGTGAAGGAAGGCCAACAAATCATCAGCTGCTCTATTCGACAGAAAAATATTTTACAAAGGTTTCAATCACATCGAATTTGAATAATTTATGATTTACTGGAATATAATGAAGAGCCATGCTCAGTCTCAAATTGTCTCTAATACCGTAATCTATGAAATCGATTTATTATTCTGATAATTCAACAGAAGTTCTATCGTGTTAATACATTAAGGCGTCGGATTAGAAGAATAATGATCGGACGCTACAAAAATTGGAAGGAAAAGTTGGGTGGAAGCTGACCAGTTAGAGTTGAAGAGCAGACGTCTGGGTGTATGAGATAGGAAAATCAGGCCCCTCGGACAAGTTCGCATATTTAAAGGACAAAAAAATTTTGTATGATAATTAGCGCAAATTTAACTCTGTATTTCCATTTTGCTCCTTTCATGCGTTAATGATAACAATCATTAGCCCTTTAACTGAGTTCGGGCTTTGCAGAGGGGAGAAACATCAAAGTGAGAAAAATTGAAGAGGGGGACCGAAGAGTGATTTGCAGATGTAATGGAGACAGACACAATGATGGAGAGTAAGGTGAGGTGAGTACTGTGAAAGTGGTCGAATATGACATACAGTCGGATCATGGTAGTCAGAAGTCAGAAGTCAACTGTCGATTTATAGACTTTTTTGGCGTATGAGTATACGTTGCCCAGGATGCACCATGTGGAGGTTAGTCTATCGCACACCCCATTCTCCAACATTTACTCTGATGAATAGCCACTAACTTCTGAGTACTATCTTATCTTGATATCATGGTAGAATATAATTGAATAGTGGCAAATTGTGAAATTTGTCTTTCCCATGGCATTCAGTCCTCTAATGAATGAACTTGACCCAACAGTT